ACTTTAAGAAAAAGACATTATGCCCCAATAATGTGAGTGGGCCTCACCAATGAAGGCTTAAGAGCAAAACCAAATTTTTCAGAGAAGAAATTTCTGAAGACTCAAGCATACAATATTAATTTTTGGATTTTGGACTGCCTTACAGATCTTAGACTCAAGGCTGCACAACAACTGCCTGAGTTTCCAACATGCTGACCTGCTTGTCCTAAAGACTTCAATTTTTCCAGCCCTCACAACTGCATTGATCCAATTCACTGAACGTGTGTGTGTGTGTGTGTGTGTGTGAGAGAGAGAGAGAGAGAGAGAGAGAGAGAGAGAGAGAGAGAACATAAGTAAGTAAGTATATCTCCTATTGGTTGTTTCTCTGGGGAACTTACACTGACACAAAGATGGGACCTATTACAGCACATTAGGATAATGCTATGAATTATCTAATAAAAGGTGAAGAAATGAAAGAGAACAATTTGAAAAGCAAAGGTGAACAGGGATGGAACTGACTGCTTTAGTACAAGGATTGCCTTAAACAGCACTCTAATAAGAAAAAAGGCAAAGAATATATAGGTGGCTGAAGGATTCTCTTTTGACAGTATCCACTGAACAAGTTAATCAGCCCAGTTTGAGATATATAGGTCTGTGAAGAAAGAATCACATAATGCTATAAGGAAAGCAAAAAAACACTGATGTGGAATAATGTAACTATTGCTAGGCAACACTTAAGATTTACTTAGAAGAAAAACTAAAGCTTAACCACAGATAGGTACTTTTTTCCAGTCACTTTCAGCTGTTCTGGAGTAAGTATGGAGCCTACAGTGATGTGGGATTTGCTTAGGGGAATGATGGAGGGAGACAGAGGCAGGAAGTTGAACGTATGAAGAAGAAAGTAAAGGATAAAAGGAAAGTGAAGGAACTGAGAACATATACAGTGTAAAATCATTTAATGTCTAAATAGAAGAAAAACAATGAAAGAGTAGGAATGAAAAAGAAAAACACTAAAGCAGAGGGGGAAGGTTATCTGCCAATGAGAACCCTGAAATGAAGATTAACACTGATCCTTTTAATCAATACCCAACAGTCAGCATTTGTATTTATCAAAACATGCAATTAAAAAATAAAAGAAATTGCATTTATACTTAGAGGTAATATACTTTGCAAACTATTATTGTACATTTTAAAAAATGTTTTGTTTTGTTTTTTGAGACATGAGTCTCACTATGTTGCGTAAAATGGCCTAAAACTTCCTGGCTCAAGCCAGCCTCCCAATTCAGCCTGCTGAATATCTGGAGCTACAAGCATGAACCCCATGTCTGGAAAATAAAAATGTTTGGTAATGGGACAAATTAGATTTTTAACAGAAGGAAGATTACATTAGTTTGGTTGTACAAAGATTATGAAAAAGGAGGCTCATGACAAAACTTCCAGTTTCCAAACGGTAAGGATTTAACTAATCTCTTTTTTTGTGTCTTAAAATTTCAAGCAAAATAAAAAGGAATTTCATCTTTATTAGGCAGAAGGTATATACAACAATATGGTCAGCAGAGAGGATTCAAATAAGATCAATGGGTAAATAAAGACTGACAACTATATCCACCATAATAAAAGGCTTTTACTCAGAAAGTAGGAGAACTAAGTTCTACAGAAGATGAAGAGAGATTTGTTCTAAAATCTTAGTCTGTACAATAAACAAGTAAATCTCCAGGTCTCACTAAACCTCGGCAATTAACAATTGCTCTACCACACTAATTTGGGAAGTACAGACATTTATTCCTTGCAGAAAATAAAGAGATTTGGAAACCCCCCTCCAATTCCCCTCTTATTGGCAATTGGCTTTTTAGTGTCTCCCTCTCAACAATGCTTAGAAAGCTAAGAAACACATATTTAAAGAATGTTTCTAATATGAAAAGACAATGATAAATGCAGAGAATCAGAAGAAAGAGGTTATGGTTAGGAATAGAAAATAATTCAAAGAAATAATTACCATCATCACAGAGATATAAGATATTACATCTTTAACATGCAGAATGTGGGACAAAAGTGACATGGAGAGTAAGAAAGAACTCTTGCAAATTTAAGATACTGCCCAAAATTCAGTTCAATAATATTGAAGAAATTTAAGAACAGAAAAATGAGGAAATGGAAAGAGAAGAGGAAAACAACTGAGAATCAATTCAAGAAAATAACATCTAACCAACAGTAACTTAAGATAGCATGCCAACAAAGTTAGGGGAAAAACCAGAGTGTATCACTATAAAATCTTAAAATACTACAGCCAAGAGAAAAATGAAAGAGCTTCAAAAGACAAGAAACACAAACAGAAGTTTAAATAGAATTTGGACTTCTCAGCCAAAACACAGGAAGTTGAAACAAATTCTGAAGAAAATAAATTTTAGTAATAATAAAATCTACACTGGGTCAGACTATTATGCAAAAGATACAACACAGATTCAAGGCATGTGAAGTCAAATATCCAGTTCCTCAGTATCTTTTTTTTTCTCAAGAAGGTATTGGACAATATTGTACCCCAAAAGGAGACAATACATTAAGAAGAAAAATGAGAGATGTTATAAAAAAAAAAGATAGAGTAAAAACAATGGCAAAAGGTCAAAGTGAAGGACATCTAAATTTTAGCAAGTGAGGACTGGTTTTTTTTAAAAATTAAAAGCCCACAAAAATAACTCTTAAATCCATTGGGACTATTCATGTCAATATTATACAGATTAAAGGCACAGAAAATTAGGAACGTTGTCCAAGATCACCAAGTAAATAAACAAAAGGTACAAACTGATTGTAAAGTGACTTATTTTTTGGCCATAAACCAAAAGACTTTTATTTTGGGGGAGGGTTGAACTCAGGGCTCTGCACTTGGTAGGCAGGTTCTACCACTTGAGCCATGCCCCTAGCCCTTCTAAGTTAACTTTTAAAATTGTGGTTTCTTTAAAAAACTGACACTGACAAGAAAGCTAATTTTCAGACCTAATGTTAGAAAGTAAAAGAAAGAAATCTAAGAAAATTATAATTCTTTAGTTAGAAAAAGTTAAAAATTACACTAGATCTTTATTTACAGATTCAAAATAATAATTACAATTTTAAAGTCATGCTCTACTTAATAGATGTAATTATATGATACAGTGTTACCTGCAGATTTGGTGAACAACTATTAGGCACCTATCTCACAAGTCCACAAGAAAAATGAGTAAAACCTGACCCATGGGTAGGAAAGACAAGTGATAAAGCACAATAATACAATGGGTAAAAGTGCGAAGCAATGAAAAGGCAAGGCATCTAGAACTTAAAAAAAGGAATATAAGGCAAATATTATAAGGCTGGGCTATAGTTCAGTGGTACAGCACTTGCCTAGTATGTGTGAAGGCCACTGTTCAATCTGCAGAAGCACACACATTTATATGGTAGAGGGAGAGAGGGGAAGGCAAAGTTTATTTATATTCTATTGCTTCCTCTTTGGTAATGGGAAACTGTCCTAAAATTTTCACATCCTGACCATAAAACCCAGAAATAATCAGTCTGGTTACGAAGTATACAATAATAACTGAATTTAATAAATAGAATACAGGTTCCTTGAGTCAATGAAAAACTAAAATGAAAATGTATGCTATTAAGTTTTCTTAATAGCAGTTTTAGAAAGTTTATTAATTGCTTATTTTTTATGTCCCCCATTTGCCATATAACCTATTATTACTAAAACAGAATACTCAGTACATTCTGAGTAAAAACATCAACACTAACAAACATTAATTCTTCTTGTCATTCCGAGTAACAGCAGCACCATAGTAAATGCCAAGTTCTCTTAATCTCTTTTTAATAAGAGGTAACTGTCATTACCTTTTCCACTTTGCATCAGAAGAAAGTGAGACTGGATTAGTAAAGAAATTGTAGAAGGTTACCCAGCTAGTGAAAGGCACAGAGAAATATGACTCTAGAAAGTCTGGCTCCAGAACTCATTCTATCAACCACTAATATATGGTTTTAACAAATGAAAGTCAAGGAAGGATGTGAATTTCTGAGGCAAAATAATTACCACTTAATATACAAAAAAATTAAGCATATGTCTTTCCTCAGAGAAAGAGTCCAGAGATGTTGACTTTGTTAAAAACACTTAACAATGATGGAACCATTTATACATATAAAATCAACCATATGTCAACATAATAATGTCAGTAAAATGTAAGGAATTGTTCATGCCATCACAAGTCTGAATGACTTATCGTTAGCTGATGGTCAAGACTGCCTTAATTCAATGCCTTTAACCACATTTTCTAATTGTTCACAAATTCATTTTAGGAAAAAATTAGGACAGAATCTAGTGTCACATTATCTATGGAAAATCTGAATTCTTAACCCGTCTTTGTTCAAATATGCACTTTTACTTAGAAATGACAGGTAGCCAGTATTAAGCTACTTAAAAAACATAAAATTACACTGGGGAGAAAATAATGAAAAGTAAAAATGTTAAATGCAACATTACTCATACTGACAGTTTGAAGTAAACAACTTATAAAGTACTGACATACATTTTACAATCAAGCAACTATGAATGAGACAATTTAATTCTGATAAAGATTCGTTGATAATATTATCTTCATAATAGCAACAATGAAATGGTAAATCAGCCCTATTTCTTACTTAGAAAAATATCTTCTCATAAAATATGAAAATTTCATCAAAATGGGAAAAGACGTTCAGTTTCACATTGTAAACCCACAAGAATAATTATGACAAAATGTTTCTTACAGAAGTTAAATCCACAAACTATGTTCTAATATGTCTAATGAGATAGCTACTTGGAGCAGAAATAAAGTCACTTAAGTTTAAAAATTGAGTTAATAAAAAACTGTGCTGCAAAAATATGAAGGTTATTAAAATAGATCAAATAAATAGGACAGTATGTTTAAGAGAAGAGACATAAGAAAATATGATATGTGATTGCTAATAGTCTATCCCATCTTAATGATAAAAAGCATTCCAAAAAGAGAGTTTGTCTCCAACAGAAAAACAAGAATACTTATTCTTATAACTGGGATAAACAGACCTGAAGAACTTCAGAATGCTAAAAACTTTTAATAAAAATGTAGTAAAAGTATACATTTATATCAATGCATAAACACTGACATAAGGAAACATTAATTAATTCACAACAAGAAAAAGGGGTATTTGGAAAACAGATTGAAACTACTACTGATAAGACCGCACTGGTGACTTATGAAGCTATGGAACTCATTACAGCTGTACCCTACAAAATAACTAACCTGATTGTCTCTCTTCTCAGCTAAGATATAAGCAAGTCAAGGAGCATTTTATTCCAAAGCCGATAATCATATCTGGCCATAACTGCCTTGTAACTTTCCATGCACATAGTCTTTGAAGCAGAGGATTAAATGTTCCTGCCCATTTTATCTAGTCCCCAAGACTTGTCCTGCAAAGTGAATAAAAATGATTATCTTTTAATCTATGCCTTGCACACATATCATTTAAAAAAAAAAACACAAAGAGGGCAAAGATGAGAATGAAAAATCACTGAAAAGGTGGATAATTATTGTCCAGTCCAGAATTAAGTTCTCAGCAAGCCCTCTGTGCTTTGTTGAGAGGTAGGTGACCAATATGACTCACATTTTATACAATCAAGCTTTGGAAGATATGGCCATTAGTGTAGATACATGGGTATTACAGTAATATTTGAACTTAGAAAATAAATGCAAAGCAGGTTCTATCCTTTAAAAAAATGAATATAACCATGATGTTTAATACTTTCTATTTTCTTGAAACCAGATTTTGAAAAATAATTTCAAATGCAAACAGTCTCCATGATAAGAAAAAGAGCTGAAGTGAAAATAAAATGTATTTATCAAGTTTGTAAAACACATGAGCATAGGTAAATCATGGGAAGAGAAAGAAAAGCACTAGAGGAAAGAGGGAGCAGCTCAACTTAAAAGGAATACAAGAAAAACCATAATGAAAATATTTAAGCACATATAAAATTAATAGATGTAGATAATCAAAGGGCTGAACATAGAGAAAAATAAAATGTTACTCAAAATCAGTCAATGGAAAGAACAACTAAATTGGACAACCAGCAAAAGGGCAATTAAGATACAGAAATACAACATTTACATGGCATTGAAAGAGAAATGAAAATGAATTATAGTACATTATTCAAAAAATTTAAAGACAAATATTTTGTTTATGGTTGGTTGTTTTGGGGGGGAAGGGAGGTTTGCTGGGATTGAATTCAGGGCTTCAAGCATGCTAAGCATGCAGTCTATCATTGAGCTCCACCTCAACCCCAATGATATATATAGATTATATAATAATCTTGCTCTTGCATTCTTAAATAAAATATGTGGCATATTTATAATTTTTAAACAGGATGCACCCAGGTTTTTAGATTAAAGAGAGGTAAACCTACCTCTAACAAAGAAGCCCCAGTTTACTCTGCTTTTGAGATTAACTATTTTTTCTGTTTTTATGTTACAAATTGTTATCTCAAAATTGTATTAGCAGACAACATCTGAGGCAAGTCCTCCGTGAATTTGTTTCTTCACCTCTCTGGCTTTGGGGAACAACAGATAATAATTACTCTTTTGTTCTTTAAAATATTGAACACTTCATGAATTTGTATGCTATCTTTGCTCAGGGGCCATGCTAATTTCTGTATTGTTCCAGTTTTAGTATATGTGCTGCTGAAGCAAGCACCAGATAATAATTTCTGCATCAAGCAAGTTCACTAACTTTTATGACAATTCTACAAATTTCTACCTCATGATAAAAGTCATGTTTATTTTGTATCAATAAATTTCTGACAAATCTGACAACCAGGTAAATGGGCATTACTGTACACAAAAAGAAGTTGGAAAAGAAATAGGAAATATTTTAAAAGAAAAAGAAAAGATTAAATTTAGAAGACACTGAAGTTCGTGAAATTAGAAAACAATGTATAGTACCAGATGTTTTAATAATCACAATATTTTTACAGTATCTTTTAAAATACTCAACTGGATGCATGTTCTCCTTTTCTTCATAATAACAAGGAAGAAGATATTCTCAAAACACAAAATAAACTGTTTGCTGCATGATCTGTACAGAAATCTTTTCAACAATAAGTTGTATTTTACCTTTTTTAAAAAAAGATCAACAACAAAACATCCCTAATAATGAGAAAGAATACCAACAAAACAAAATAAACTATTTTTCAAATTTGGTATAGTACTGTAACTAAGCGAATTGTAGACATTAATATATGTGTTAACTATATAGAGGAAGACCAAAACAAAAACTAGGAAAAATGTGCAAACTATGACTATAGATAATATTGCAACAGGTTAAACCAGAAAAATAACAAAAATTTCAACCAGGTATTTGTAATGTGCACTTCCTAAACCACCAGACCCATTATCACTAGAAACCTCCTAAATTCTGGGGTAAGACCCAGTTACCTGTTTCAAGAGGCTGTTATGTGATTCTGATTTGTGCTAAGGTTTAAAAACAAATACTTTAAGTAAATTAGATTAAGTGAGATCTTAAATTTTAAATGCAAAGTGAAGGCAATAAATGAATCTAATTGTTAAGGTTCTGTCCTTGTAATAATTAAGATGAATATGGACAAAATTACTGGTACTGAAGAGAATGTAAGTTGAGAGTATGTAAATGTTTAAAAATACATACTTTGTATTATGCGGGAAAAAATAGTCATTTAAGGTAAACGCTAAGTAGCAGAAGCAAAATAGTTCAATTCTTGTATTACCAAAATTGCCTTGTGGAAAAACAATGAAAAAATGAATATATTTGACTGACAAGTTGCCAAGATAATCCTAAAATGAGAAAGCTAAAGTGAAAACTATAATCTTTCAGTTCTTCAGATTATCTATAGAATGAAATGATTTTAGAGACACTTCTTGTAGACATGTTTAAATTATCAACAGTAATAGGAAAACCATTATCTTTTCAAACAGAATTGTTTCAAATAAGTATTTACACTTTTTATATTAAAAATGAGCAATAAAACAATGTAATTAAATTGAAGGATAAATAATGTGAATTTGGAATTTCACTGATTATTACTCGGATTTATCAAACAGTATGGCACAGTGGCCCCAGAAATATTTTTTGGTTGTAACATACAGATGCAGGAAAATAAAGAGTCATGAACATATTTATTGACTTTGGCCAGAAATTTTCAATTTTTATAATTAAGGCTGTTAAAAAAATATATTTTGCCCTAATAGAAATGTAAATTATTCAGATAAATTTGGAAAAAAAGTGTTATCTTTCAGAATAGTGATTAATTTAACATTTGATCTAAAGAAAGATAAATTAGTGTAAAACACATATGGCAAAATAAAGTGAAAAGGAAAGAAAATGTTGGTTACTTACCAGCAAGGGTACTTGTATGCCTAAAAGCTCTGACCTGGGAGTCTGACAAACCAGTCAAAAGGGAGATTACTGTGTCCATCATATACTCATCATAAATTATGCTATATTGACACTGTCGAATCAGGACTCCAATAAATTCACAAAAGTTGGAACGAAATTTTTTCCACTGAGGTCCAGGCATGGTAAGGGGATAATCACCACTATCCTAGAAGGTACAAAAAGAACGTACTAAGTATAACATGTGAGCAGATTTGACCAAAGTTTATTTTTCTTCCTACATAGACAGGAATCCTTTATTTCAAAGTCCATGTGAACAAAAATAGAAGATTCCTTTCATAGGCACATAGGCATATCTTTTTTGTTTAGTTTTAACCTGCTGCAACTAAATAATTTGGAAAGTATTCAAAATCATTAGTTTAGAATTAGTGTTTACTAATTTTAAGCTGTTCATTCAAAGTAACAGTTTGAATTTCTTCTACTTGGATTTTTGTTGAGATAATCTGAAGTATAAAACAAACCAAAAAGTAAAGTGTAGACTAAAAAGGCTATTTGTCAATGAATTTAAATGGGAAAAAATCTCTACCAGCTATTAAGTAAATAAAGGATTAATATCCAAAATACACAAAGCACTTTGAAAATTAAGTACTAAAAGACAAACAATCCAAATTCTATTTGGGCAAATGACCAGTTTTCTAAAGAAGTGCAAATGGCCAATGAATACATGAGGAAATGGTCAAGGTCCTTAGCCAGAAAGGCAGTGCAAATCAAAACAACACGAAGATTCCATCAACACTGAGATTCTATCTCGCCCCAGTCAGAATGTCAATCAGCAAGAAAAGAAAAAACAACAAATGATGGAGAGAATGCAGCCAAACAGAACCCTTATTCAATATTGGTAGGAATGTAAATTCCTGCAGCCACTATGGAAAGCAGTATGGAGGGTCCTCAAAAAACTAGAAACCTTTTGTACAACTGATATAACTTAATAAAAAGAAACTAAAAAGGAACTACCATATGATCCTGCTGTACCACTTCTGGGCATATACCCCAACAAATATTAAGTCAGCAAGCAAGACAGATCCTGTACAACCATGTTTATAGTAGCACTATTCAGAACAGTCAAGCTGCAAAAATAGTCTAGCTGTCCACACAACTGACGAATGGATAAAAAAGCCTGGTATATATTCACAATGGAGAAGTACTCAGCCATGAAGAATGAAATTATGTCATTTCCTGGAAAATGGATAGAACTGGAAAGCATTATGTTAAGCAAAAGTAAGACTGAGAAAGAAATACATATTCCAAGTCCTCTCTCATACAGACAATCTAGGCATTAAAAAAGAAAACAGCATGAGTATAAAGGAGGAGAAGGGGGAATCATTGGGAGTGGCAAGCACAAGAAAGGGGGATGGACAATGGGGAGGGTGAAGAGGGATAAAGTATTTCATGCGAATGTAGTAAAATACAATAATCAAACCTACTAAAACTTGTAAAGGGGATTGGAAAGACTAAAAGGGTGTGAATTTCATCAAAGTACATTATATGCATAAATGGAAATATCCCAACAAAACCCCTTTGCACAATTAAAATGTGCTAATAAAAAAGCTAGTTTGATTTCATTATAAATTTAATCAGTGGTAAGACATTGGTAATAAAAATAGCCAGAAATGTATTACACAGTCAAAGGTGTCCAAGCTGAAAGAACACGACTGCTCCTTGAGTACCCTTTAACCAGCATTTTAAAATATGAAGGACACAGTGGTAGTTAAAAATATACAAGCCACATGATCTGGGTTCAATTCCTGGTTTGTCACTTAGGAGTTGTGTTAACTAAGACAAGTTTCTTTACCCTTTTGTGCCTCAATTTTCTTATGTGTAATAAGAAAAATAATGTCATCAAAGACCTACATTACTAAAATGCTGTGAGAATTTAATATATTTAAAGCACTTACAGTAGTGTCTGCACATAATAGTTACTATTATTATCCAACAAGCTTACTTCTGTCCCCATAATCAGATGTGAATAATAAGAAATGTGGCAGCAGTGATAGTTCTTATACAAGCTCGTCTTATACCTCTAAATGTTAACGCCATAAGGATCTGATGAGATCTGATAAGAAACCAGCCTGGAAATGGTCATAGAATTAAGATGAGTATACAGACCCATTAAAGAGTATTGTCCAAAAGGATAGCATCCAGGTATTAGCCTGAGATATTCTGAAACCACCATGTCAACACATTTCTATTATGTTATTTAAAAATATCTTTTTTGTCCTTCAAAGATTACTTTTATGTGACTAATTTGTTAATAAAATAATACATAAGCTTAATTTATATAAACATATATGACATAACAACACTTTAATACAATAAACGAGTATGCACTTAGTATTCTGATTACCAAGGATGGAAGGAAAAAAATACTGTCAGCTATTTATTTTTATTTATCAAATACTTAAACAATTAGATGGCTTAGAGCTAATGACAGTCTAAAATAGTCTCCTTGTGTTTTGCCTGCCTGTAGGCAGCCAAAACTGAGTGGGAAGGAAGTCCTTGGACCCCGGGGCTACAAAAGACACAGGACAGCACATTAAAAAAAAGTCTAAAATAATCACCAGTTACTTAAGCATACTTCTGATGAAGATCTGTCACTATTATTTGAAAAGAAGTACTGGGAAGTGGGAGAAGAGAACTTTAAATGTCAAATAATCCTTATCACAGGTTATTAATATTAGAATTTTAGATTGAAAATGACTTATTGATGGAATGTATAACTGAAAAAAATTAGTCTTTAATTTGGGAATGAAGATTAATTTGAGCTTCCTCTCACATATCTCTAGCATTATTCCTTTTACATTTTCTGAGTTTGTATTTTATTTAATCACTTTTAGATTTACTAAAAATTCTCATCCTTTGATGAAATAAATGGATAAATACATAGAAAATTCAACACTGAGTTTAAACGAGAAAATGAGAAGAGAGACCACAAATATAAGCAATATTATGAAAAACAGGTCACACTAAAGGGAGATCATTAATAGGAGGGGGAGGGCTAAAAGAAGGAAGTTAAGAAGGTGAATATGGTTGATGTACTTTCTATAAAAGAATAAATAAGGAATTTTTAAACCTGTTGAAAGAACTGTAAGAAGGGGACTAAGGTAGAAAGGAGAAAAATGGAGGGGATGAACCAATTCAGGTTATAATACATATACATGGAAATGTCGCAATGAAACTCTGTATAACTATCTTAAACAAACAAAAATGTCTGTTTTCAAAAACAGAGACGAGGAAAGTAGAAATGGTTCTGTCTGGGGACTGGCACCAATGGGAGGATGTAAGCAAAGGGGGAAGGAGAGTAAGTATGGTGGAAATATTATGTACTCATGTATTAAAAATGGAAAAATGAGACCTGTTAAAACTATTCCAGGGGATATAAAGGAGAATGATGGAGGGGGTAAATTCAACCATGATATATGGTAAGAACTTTTGTAAATGTCACAATGTACCCCCAGTGCAATAATAAAAAGGAAAAAAATGAGATGAGAAAAGCTCTAGGGTAAGTTGCAATCATTGTAGGAAAGCACCACAAAATATCACAATGTATAATGAGAATTAAAAGTAGTAAATGAATACATTAAATGTGTTATGTTATAAAGGTTTTTATACACGAAAGTCAAACTGAAATATATGAAAGCTATGCCAGCTGATCTCGGGGGAAACATCCTTACAAGTTTAAATTTGGAGATGGGGTTTTAATAATCTGGGGAAGAAATACTGTGCTTTCCCTTAGCTGCCAAGGCTGATTCCGAATACGAAACACGCACGTCTATGACTGAAGAACCACATCCTGTGCTGGGAAATAACTTATGTCTAAATTGGGTTGATAATATAATTAAAAAATACCTCTGGATCTGTGCAAAATTAAGGGGGGGCTTAAAAAAAGTGTACTGCCATGCTTGGTGGTATACATTTGTAATTACAGCACTAGGGAAGGGAAAGCAGGAGGATCATGAGTTCGAGGACAGCCTGTGCTAATAAGGAATTCCAGGTCAGTCTGGGATATTCAGCAAAGTCCTGTCTTAAAAAACAATAAAAGAACAACACAAACAAAACTTTTCAGGCAGTAACACACATTTGTGTCACCTTGAAAGATCTTCAATCTAATTCATCTCACCTTTAGCTTACTTTGCTGTATAATACAATATACATTTATTTTCAACAAAACTTTAATGATTATGCTCTGAGAACCAAACATTTCTCTAGGTTCTTAGAATCTAATGGCTATTGTCATCAGATCTTTTATAATATTACAAAAAACTGCAATTTACCAAAACTAAACTCCTCCTTCTCCAGGGGAATAAATAATCTATAATTAGTTTGAAGATTTAAAAAAACATAGTACACTTAGTAATATGCAAACATTTAAACCAGATTTCTTGGGTGTATACAAAGTAATAAAGAGTAATATCTTCTGAAACTGACAGTTGATAAAACAGATAATGTTAGAAGATATCTAATACGTAAGTTTCCTTTAAATAAACACACTGTTCTCATAATCAAACTGTTACCTGTACTATCAAACAGGAAAAAATTAGAATGGCAAATTAAAAAAAAGAGTTCTTGATTAGACCACTATTTCAAATACTGTTAAAAATATTCAGAAATATAAAATGAATGACTTGAATTATTTCATTTGCTATGTAAACTCTTTCTATTTCTTCAACGTGCTCTGAATATTTGACAATAGTCACAGGAACATTTTTTTGTATATCAGGACTTCATTTCTCCCATGAATTTCTCGCCTTCTTCTAGTACCTTAAACTCTTACCACAAAAGTAATGGTTACTTCTTGTTAGGAATTTTTGTAAGATACTCATTTATCTGTTTTCCCTTTAATCTACTCTCATAGTATAGGGTTTAATAATTTATTCACAGCTCTCTTTTCTTAAATTTCTCTTCAACCAATAGTTCCCAAACGTAAGTGTACATTAGAACCACCTGAGAAACCTTAAAAAATCCTTCTACCCATATCCCATCCACCCATATCCCACCCTTTAAAAATGAATTATAAAGTCTGGGTTATATGGTGGAGGGCTAAGCATCAGTAGTTTTTAATGATCCCCAGATGACATTAATGTGCAACAAAGTATGGCCACTGCAATCTTAAAATCTTAATAATCTTTGCATCAAGTGTTAGTACCCTATAGGTTCAAGGTTACATTCTACTTTTTAATCTGTGATGTGGACCAACTGTGCTCCAAGTCTAGCCTAGACAAGACAGCTGTGCAGCTGATGAGTAAATATACCAGTCAAAATGTAATATGGTTTTATTATTTTCTATATGTCACATATAAACTTTCAAAGTAACAACAAGATTATTTTTAGTATAAAGGAGCCCCATAGCTCTCAGAATCTGGAAGTTTTTTCAATTTTAAAAGTTAATATAGTACATATGCCTTATCACAACTCCATCAGTACCTATGGCAGCCTCCTGTAATCAAGAACATTAATATGTGCTACTAAAGATCTTGGAATGCCCCCCCAAGGGCCCATGTGTTAAAGGTTTGCTCCCCAGAGTGGCATTCTTAGGAGGTTGTAGAGCCTGTAAGAGTTGGAGTCTAGTGGGAGGTCTTTGGACCCCTCAACAGATGCAGGTCTCTTATGCTTTTCTCTCTTCTGCTCCCTGGCCATGAGATGAGCAGTTGTGTCAAGCAGTGATGCTATGATGTGCTCCCTCAGCTCAGGCCCAAAGTAAAAGGGAACAATAGGTCATGGATTGACACCCTCAAAAGTTAAAAATAAAGTTTTCCTGTTTTATAAGTTAATTATCTCAGACATTTGTTCCAGAAATCTGACAAACGCAGTATTTCAAATGTATCACAAATATTCACACTGACTGGGAAAAATTAAAACTGTAAATAACCCCATTTAAGTTAAATCCAGGTTTTGCCACCAAATAAACTGAAAACAAAATTCTTTAGAATTTCAGGTGTTTTGTGAATTTCAGAACTAAAAACAAGAAATTGTGGACATAAATATGTGTGAGTTGGCAATGCAAGGTTCTCCTCTACTGCCCATGGAATATGACTTAAAATAATCTGAAACCCACAAGCAGAATGTTTCTATAAAGGACAGTACAGTATTTTTGCTATGAGTTGTCACAGGGAAGATGAATAGCTGATTAAAAAACGAAAAGAAGTCCTTCAGGTTATATGTGTTTGAGTATGCTTGTAATGTAAACATATTACAATATAAATTACACATTGTAATATAAACACATGGTAAATACGTTTATATTATTTTATTCAAAAGAAAATTATTATTCTTTTAATAACAGTAAAGATAGTAATGAAAAAAAGGTTAAGCCAATTCCCCAAAAGTCAATCTAGGTAAAAAAAAAAAAGCAGCAATCTTTTAATGTTGAAAGTCAAGAAAAAGAAACATCTACCAGAAAACAGAAATCTGTTTAAATCACAAGGCAGAAGATTAAAACTGGAATTAGCTGGGGCCTAAAGCCAAGACATTAACTTAGTTCACCAGAAATATAATGTAGAAATAAAACTCTGCAAGTGTTTCAGTACTTATAGTATTTCAGTGCAAACAGAAAAGATACTTAACTTGTTGAAACCAATAGAAACAAACAACAAAACAAACAAGTCTTCTAGATGGAAATAAGAATACTCAAACGTACAACATTACCAACAGAAGCTTAAGTTTCACAGATACAAACAACTCGAGGCTAGGAGGCTGGGCAGGCTATATGTCAAATAATTTTAGAAAATTCTGGGCTAAATAAAGTTAAGTAGGATTTTCTTCAATAGGATTAGAAAAAAATCTTAAGTAAGATGATATGTTTTAATAATTTATGTTAGTATAATATGCAACCTCACTCATACTTCTTTGATCTCCAAATCTTTTTTCCTTTAAAGCATTATACTAGGACCATAGCATTTCGTAGAACAGAAATATGGTGGGGCTGCATTTATAAAGTTGAGAATTTGAGAAGATCTTCAAACATGAATGTAAGGAATCAGCTATTACCTCCATAATATTAATTTCCTTGTCTTATCAATCATTGTTCAATGCTACCTGTCCACAAAATAACAAATTCCCCCAGACTATTAATTTACTGAAATGAGCAACATATTACCCATTTAAAAGCTTAAGTAGGCAATTTGTATAAATACTAGAATGCTATACCTCATCAAATTCTTCAGTCATTTTTCTGATGATTTCTGCATTCTGCATATTTCGAAACATCTCTATTCTTACAGTACCTGCAAAAACAACAGATTTTATAGTTAATTTTTGTCTCATGCTAAACAATAAATTTAATCTCACCACTGTTTGAAAAGTTATGAAACTTCTTGGGCTTCTCTTTCCTTCTCAAAGTTTTATTCTAAAGGAACTTTAGTGTTCTTTAAATATCAAAAACAAAGAAACAAAAAAACCTGACTATTCCATGAATTAGACAAAAGCAGAAAAGTGTTGACGGAGAAAGCAAAGACATAAAACACGGAATTTATATTACAAGAAGAGTCCTAAAAACTTATTTAAATATATACTAGTGGTACCTATACATATAGCTAGCTGCCTTTTGTCAGAAATCTCCAAGTAAACAGTTGGAGGTAGGACTCAAATGGCCCCACTTAGCAAGCATGAGGCCATGAGTTCAAACCTCAATACCACAAAAATAAATATAGTAAATCTCTTATATGGCTATACCCATCATTCTTTATCATCAGAATATTCTTCTGTAAATTAAAACAAAATGCCCCTTGATCTAAATCTGCTTTCTCTTAATATAAAAAGTGGCTAAGTTGTACATAATTATCAAAAATCAATGAAAAACTAAACTATTTCATCTCAAACTTTTGTACTACTTCTGTCTTAGTTTACTTTTTTATCTAACTATTGTTATGAAAACTAAAGAGGTTTATATTTAAAAGTTATATTAAAAATCAGCATAATTAAAATAAAAGCTGAAATAAAGTTCAAAATGAACCCTAGCTATAATCTCGGTCACCTATATAAATATAACATTTAAGATTTTAAAAATCACAATGTTAAGACTGAGTCAGTGAGAAAATAGTTATAACCTCTGACAAACTCCCTGCCAGAAATTATAACTCCACCTGAAATCACATTAGGAGTGTAAGAAGGAAAGAGTCTCTGAAATGTTATATGCCTGCCCAGGAAAGAGCATAGAACAACAGAATGGAGTCTTCATGCAGACTCACAACAAAAACATTTGCACATTAAATTTAATTTGACTTAATATTATTAATTTGTAAAACTGGAAAAATGATATTGTTCTATCTTACAATCAGAACCATTGTCAAGCACATTTTAACCACTTGCTATGTAGCTCTATCCTTCATTCTCAGCATGGTTGAATATATTAAGGACCACCAACAGGTATACCATATATCTAAGTACAAAGATGACATGATCTGAGTTAGGAATTGGGGAAAAAGGAAAAATACTTTTAAAGATTTTCTTTCAAACCTGCAACTTCTTCAACAAAATGGGGAAATTCTGTATTGTGATTTTCTCTTTTTACTGATTAGAACAGTACTAAAGACAGGTAGTTTATGCACTGTCATGCAGCCCCTCCCCCAATAGTTTAAATAAATAGAAAAAAATGAGTTAAATTGCTAACTACCATAAACAAAAGTTAACCTTCTATCAGACATTCCTAAAATTATTCAACTTAAATGAACTGTACTTGAGGCCAAGCTCAAAAGGCCAAAGTGGAACTTAGACCTAAAATGATGATGGGATATGAATGTATATCGGGGGAGATTTGAGGGAGAGGAAAAAAAGGAAAGGATACTGGGGGTGGGGGGCGGGGGTTAAGAGGAATGGAAGTATGCTGCATATATGCATATGAAAACAGCATAATGGAACCCACAAACCACTGTTTGAAAGAGCGGGTAAAAAAGGGGTGGGGGGAATGGGAATATAATGGAGGGAGTAAACTACTATGCATGTATGGAATTGTCACAATGCAACCTCCTCATATTACTAATGTATGATTAAAAAAAGAAATAAAAAAGAGGGAGGAGAGAGGTTAAGAAAGTGTAATGTCAGTGGTGTAAATTTAATTGAAGTACATTATATGCATATGAGTATAAAAATGAAGCACTTTGTACATTTCATGCTACTAAAATTTTAATATTTTCAAATCTATATTTGTGCTATATAGTAAATTATATATGATCAAAGTAATCAACTATTTTATCACCTATTTGAGAATGTGCCTTTCCATGACTGTTTTCCATTCATCTCTCCCTAGAATTTATTGGAATAAGTTACTAGTTTATCTTACATTACAAAAACCTGGGTAAAATATTTCATTTTCTCAAGAATTTTCACTTTTCCAAAGCTGGATACACGTAATTATCATTTCAAAGATTTTTGGGTTTTGCTGGTACTGGGATTTGAACTCAGGGCTGTGTGCTTGCTAGGCAGGTGCCCTACGATTTGAGCCACTCCCCTAGACTCATTTCAAAGATTTTGACTTTGTGTGTGTGTGTGTGGTACAGGGGTTTTTGAATAGCTTTGTAGGTGCTCTGCCACTTGAGCCATGCCTCTATCCAGACAACTCTTATTTTAAAGTCTTTGGTAGCACACTCCAAGAAGCTCCCCCTCTTCTAACAAGCCAACCTCGTACTACTTATGCCCTTACGTGACCTATGAATTATGGGCTGAATTTGATGACTAACAATTAAGCTTTGGAGAAAGTGACTGTGTGTGATTCTGAACCTAGAACATAAAAGTAGTGTGATATTACTCTTTTAGAGCTCTGGAGGAAGCCAAATCATAAGCAATACAAAAACACCCCATAGAGGACCATGTGGTCAAGGAACTGATGACTCCCTTAAAAGTTCTCCCCTACACAAGTTTTAAGATGACTGCAGATCTGGACACAAATTGACTACAACTTTTTGAGACTTAGAAAGCTAGGTCTCCCCACATAGGCTGCTCACAAATTCTTAACCCAGAGGGACAAGGAGAGTAACAAACAGCTGATGCTGTTTGAAGTCATTACAGTATTGTCAAACAGCAACAGACAATACAGATTAAGAATTTCATTAATAATTTCCAGAGAAATTCACAATATAAAAGAATTTTGAGCTGGGCAACAGTGGCTCATGCCTGTAATCCTACCTACTCATGAGGCAGAGATCAGGAGGACTGTGGCTGGAAGCCAGCCTGGGCGAGTAATTCTGCGAGACCCTATCTCGAAAAAACCCTTCACAAAAAAGGTATGGTGGAGTGACTCAAGGTGTAGGCCCTGAGTTGAAGAAGCCCCAATACTGCAAAAAAAAAAGAAAAAAGAAAAAAAGAATTTTGAATTTTAAAAAAATTTTGAAAGAAAAGAACAATGGTACAAACACAATTTCAGAGAAAATATTCATAAATGATTCAGAGATCTACTCCTAGGTATTTATCAAGAGAAATGCAAACATATTGATGGGAAGAAAGACTTGTATATGAATATTCACAGCATATTTATTCAAATTAGCTCTCACCTACGGAAACCAGAAGCATAAATATTCAACAGAAGAATTAACAACTTATGAACTAATACTCTGCAATAAAAGGAAGCTAATGATATGCAAAATAACAGTGATTTTTTCCACATGAGGCTGAGAAAAAGCCCTAAAAAAGAAAGCTTCTGTGATACCATTTACATAAAGCTCTAGAACAAGAAAAACAATCTTTAGCGGTAGAAAGTAAATAATAATGCCCAGGATACTGATATGGGCAGTGTTTGTAGATGAAGTGGGGGAGTGAAGATTTGCAATAAAATGGCAGAACCTGGTAGAGAAATGGCAACATTTCATATTTTTATTTCAGAATACATAGTTATATACATTTGCCAAAAGTCAATCTGGAGGATCCAAAATGGTGACTGGGATGCAGACGCACACTGCGTGAGCTCCATGAATCAGAAACCTTGCTGAGATATTGGAGACACACTTGGCTGAGGTAAAGCATCAGGGAGAGCTGAAACTTCAGCACCCTGAAACCCTAGCCTGTGGAAAGCTTCTCAATGCCACCACACACTGAAAGAACAGGCAGGCCACTACCCCCATGTCAATGCCACCTGCAAACTGGGCCTCCATCCCCCAGGCCCACCCATCCGGCTGCCAGCTCAAAACATACTAGGGAGACCTTCAGCATACCAAAGACAATATTTTCCTACAGGAGCCACACTTGACAAAAAAAAAGAAGAAGAAGAAACAAAACTCTGAAACCCTGAACCCCCAGCCCATAAAAAGCTTCTCTACACCACATTACCTGAGAAAACAGGAGGGCTCCAGCACCCCAGATGCCAGCTCCAGCACCACAGATGCCGGCTCCAACCTACCTAGGAGACGCAGACAAACAGAACTGGATGCTAAAGGAGTAACACCAGAACTACTAACACTGAAATTCTACTGTTCCTGAACAGGGAAATTTTATTTTTTATTTTTCTTTTCTTTCAGTGTTTTTTGTCTTGTTCATTGTTTGACTGTCCACCATCTCTCCCTCTTGATTTCTTTGGTTCTCCATTTTTTTTCTTTCCTTTTCTTTTTTCTCTTTCTTTTTGATTTTGTTAGTTTTACTACTGTAAGTTAGCTAATACTAAATTACACATAAACCAGGGACAGAAACAGTGCCAAGTAGAATGATGGGAAGACAAAAAAAGGAATGGAAACCATTCTCCCCCCAAATAAATCAGTACAGAACAGAGAAATGAAGAAAATGGATACCCAGATCCAGATCCCAACAAAACAAAGTTAACTATACCACGGAACCCAACAAAGCCCACAAGAACATCCTCAAAAAAGAAATTCTGCAAGTAATCAATGAGAATTTCATAGACATGTTACTAGACGTGGTCAACCAAAATGTACAGGAGGCACTCAAGAAATTCCAAGACAACAAAAATAAAGAATACAAGAAAATATAAAAACAAATAGATGAAATCATGGCAGCCCTAAATAAACACCAAAGTGAAACAGAGAACACTGTAAATAGAGAGATAAATGAATTAAAGATGAAAATAGACATTACTAAAGGGGAAATGACCAATGACATGGAAAACCTCAGATAAAAGAATTAAACAGAAATAAAAAACACAATGGAAGGCCACTCCAGCAGACTAGAAAAGCAGAAGACAGAATCTCAGAACTTGATGATAAAATGGAAATTAAAGGAAAAACTGAAGAGCTATTAGTCAAACAACTCAAGACCTGTGAAAGGAATATGCAAGATCTCACAGACTCTACCAAAAGACCAAATCTG